TCTGAACACTTCTTACCTCACTAAAAACTAAACATCCCAATTTGATGTTGAAAGTAGGAATGACAACAAAATCCGAACCCACGGGTACCCTAACCGGTCAACGCGGGTGAAACCCGTGTTGACGGGTTTTACGCTGGGTTCGGGTTTAAACCTGTTCACTATTCATCGGGTTGGGTTTGGATTTAGGTATACCCACCCCATGGATACCCACTCACACCCATATAATTAATATTCTAAGCAACAACTAATCTTCTTTATGTTTGTGGAGACATGTCTAAACTTTTCTTTCTAATTATGTATAATGAAGTTGATATTATCAAATGAAAAGTGGAGAATTTTAATTCCCAAGAAGGAAGAAGCTTTCAATTAATAATGTTGTTTATGGATAATTTGTGATTTGCTTCAATTTTTTTAGTTTTATAGATTGGTGTTGAACAATTTGTATGGTTAATTTGTGATTTGTTTAAATTTTCTAGAATGGTGTTTTATATATGGATATTTGTATTGAGAGACTGATATTTGGATTTTATTTTTATAGAAACTTGTTATTATAAAATTTTTACGACAAAAACCCATGGGTACCCATGAACCCACGGATACCCAGCAGGTTGGGTTGGGTTTGAGTTTTCCAAACTCAGTGGGTTTTACCCTAGGTTTTTTCACTAATAAACTCATGAGTTTGGGTTTGGCAAAACCCGACTCAACCCAACCCATTATCGTCCCTAGATGAAAATCTGTCTAACCCTATCCTAAGCCCCAAACTAATGTCTAGTTAATCTATTCTAGAGTGGGTTATAATTTGTTAAAAAGGAATAGAGAAATAGGCGAACGGATCTAGTCAGTAACCTTGAGGTGAGTAACCATGCATAACTCAATCACCATCCGCCACATCAGTGCCTAGTCTCTCTCCTAAAAAGACTTTAATTTCCCCCTTCCCTCAATCTTTGACGGACGATTCACTTGTTTTAAGTCGGAAATTAAAAAATTTTGCACAGTTAGATCAGATTAATTGTGCTATTCAAAATGATATCCACTTTGATATATTTTTGGAACAAAAAAATTTGAGACATTTTTTACCAGTTTATACCATATGTTATTGACTGGTATTGAAATAAGAGCATATCATATGATATGAACATACCAAGTCTGTAGGAATGTTGAATACATGATACTAGGAGTATACTAACTGTCATTTACGACTTTTAACATTTTGTACCACAAGATACTACCCCGTACCAGGGTGGTATATTTTGATCCTATATTTTGTTCACCTAGAAAATTTTAGATCTAATAGATCATGATTAACTTGTTCCTTCTGTGCAAAATTTTTCACAAACGACTTAAAAACGAAGAAGATAACATATGGGATGTTGGTACACTACAAGAAAAGTGAGGTTTAGCGGCAAAAAGTGGCGGCTCTTTCTAAATCTGCCTCTAAAACTTACTATCTACAGACAATTAAATTATTTGTCGCTAAACGGATTATCGTTTGCCTCTAATGGTTTTGCCCCTTATTTAAAAATTATGATATTGTTGTTTAGAGGCAGATATCCTATCTGCCGTTGTTTATCATCAAAATCATTTAAATAAAATAGAATTAAGGATAGAAGGAATAGCCGGTAAAAATAAATTAGGATTAAAAAAATATAATTGCGTTGAATAACTTCCCACCTACTACGGAAAAATAAGGCTTTCTTAATTTGAAAAGGGAGTTTTAAAGACTAGCGATTTTGTGGCCGTTCGTATTCTATATTTCTGCTCATCGTTCCTTCCGCCCTTAATCAAGTTGCAAGTATCTTTAGTTTTAGGGTTTTAGTATCTTTAGTTTTAAAGATTAGGGTAATGTTGATAGACATTAGTAATTGATAATCCCCCACTTGTATCCTATATGTTTTCATGTTGTATTACTTTTCACATGATCTAGGAAATTATAATAATAAGATTAATTTTGTTAGGTATGATTGATCGAGTAATTTGCTGCCTAGTATTAAATTTGAGATTTTTATCTAGTTTCGATTGTGGCATGCTCTCTGTTCTGGCCACTTGTCAAACAATTGTGTGCAACATTATGATCAAGTTAGTGGGAAGTTTGGTGTCTATGTGCTTTCATTTGATGCTACAATCTATTTGTTTAGTTGTATCACAGCTAGGGATGTCCATATGGTGATTGAAAAGAGTCTCTGGTTTGATTTCTTTTTCCTGGCAAAACCATTCCACGGCTTTACCCCAGCACGCATATGTAATTTGTGTTGCTGAAGAAAGGCCAGATGCAACAGCGATTCTTCAACAATAGCATCAACATCACAGTTTACTGCATCTGGAACCCTCATTCCACATGTCCAACCTCAACTGCAGCTTCTCATGTCATTGCCAATGAAAAACACTCCCCAGATTCTGCAGCAAACATAACCGCAACCAGTTCCATTGACACAGTCATCCCCAATGTCAGTACAGCAGCCGAAAGTCAACCTAAAACACCCATCATGGGCTGAACAGAAACCTGCAGGGTGATACTAATCAGGTAACTCCAGCACCAGGTATTTCATGTATAAAGATTAAGCATATTCTACAAGAGCAGAGTCTACTGACCTTGATGTTCTTATATGGACCTTTGTAGGTTAATACATCAACTTACCTCAACTTGTTGTCTTCTGAAATAGAAAATTATGCCTATGATTTATGACTACTAATCATATGTATCTCCAACTAATCTTATCTTCCTTCTTATTTATCATCATCATTTATCTGTCTCATTCTACTTATGCAATAGACATAGTACATCTTTCATGGCAACAAGTTCTTGGTACATCTTTCATGGCAACAAGTCATCCCCAATGTCAGTACAGCAGCCGATAGTCAACCTAAAACACCCATCATGGGCTGAACAGAAACCTGCAGGGTGATACTAATCAGGTAACTCCAGCACCAGGTATTTCATGTATAAAGATTAAGCATATTCTACAAGAGCAGAGTCTACTGACCTTGATGTTCTTATATGGACCTTTGTAGGTTAATACATCAACTTACCTCAACTTGTTGTCTTCTGAAATAGAAAATTATGCCTATGATTTATGACTACTAATCATATGTATCTCCAACTAATCTTATCTTCCTTCTTATTTATCATCATCATTTATCTGTCTCATTCTACTTATGCAATAGACATAGTACATCTTTCATGGCAACAAGTTCTTGGTATAATTGTTCATTATATGTACGAGGATGCTTTTGATGTCTCATTAAACGAGTTAGATAAATTTGCAGATCGTAGATAAATCAGTAAAGCACAAGAGTTCCAACTTTCAACAGTTAGTGCCACAACCCACAAACGCATGGTGCAATTTGTGAAGTTCAAGAAGAATATGAGCAGCTTCCAGTTACTTGTAAACAGAAACAGAATTTGATACTTAGCAAGTCTCTAATATTCGTGAAGCTTTTATTTTATGTTTTAGTTATCATTTTTCGGTTGAGACCTTTCGTCTCCCCAGCTCCAATGTATCAATACTCATTGTTAATATATATAAATAGTGGATAAAATTTATCTATGTTTGTAAATTTTTGTGTTCTTTGTCAAATTGATTTAGTTCAGTTGCATATCGACATTAAATATTTAGTGTTAAACATGGCGATGATATTTAGAGGCTAATAAAGCTATGTTAAAAGCAATGAATCTACCATTAACTATACTAATAAGCGACATATATATTAGTCAGAGAAAAGATGATTGCTGGCAATTATTTGCCACTAAATCTCACAAATAGCGACTCATATATATGCCTTTGAACACATTATTAGGGGCATAGATATATTTACTTATGAAGGCACATGTATTTGCCTTTGAACATTTAACTGGCGGCACTTGTATATCTGCCGCTAAGCTCTGCCGCAAATTCCTTTTAGCGGCTGGAGCATTGGCAGCACATAATTATGTGCCTTTAAATAGCTTTAGCAGCAATTATATGACTTGTGGAGGCAAATAGTCATTGTCGCTAAACCTCATTTTTCTTGTAGTGGTAACGAGAGGCAAGAAAAAAAATTCTCAAAAAATATTGAAAAGAGATTTCATTTTATAGAGCACAACGAACTCGTTCCATCTGTGCAAAAAAAGAATTGAAATTCGAGTTAAAACGGAGAAGATAAGAGCCCATTAAGAAAACGAGCGAAAATAAAAATGTCTTTAATTCTCCACCCTTAGATTTGGATTTTATGAATAAAGGGTTTATATTTAGTTACTGATGGATGCATAACCCACCGTATCTGGAGCCGAGAAAGAGGCACGAAAATGGAAAGATCGGCATGGACAACAAATTAAAAAGAGGAACAAAGATAACGAAAAAGAAGAAAAGAGCAGAAAAATAAGAGACCGAGAGCCACCATCGGCAGCCTCCATGGCGACAGCTTTAGAGAGAGTGCAGAACACTTGAAAATAGAGAGAGAGAGAGAGAGTGGAGCATAAAAAACCTAAATTGGGTAATGATTGGTATGAAAATTTTTCTCAAACTATATTAAAAATAAAACTCATTGTGTAGATTACAACGAAATCGTTTCATCCGTAAAAAAAATTATTTCAAATTATAAAGATTAGGTTAAAACCCAATTAAAATAACTAAAGAGTGAAAAATAAACCCTTTCATCTCATCCCACAAATCTGAACACTTATTAGTTACCACACTCAAAACTAAACATCCCAATCTGATGATGAAAGTCTGTCCACCTCCAACCCTATCCTAAGCCCCAGAAAGAATAATGTCCGGTTAATCTATTCTAGAGTGTGTTATAATAATTTGTTAAAAAGGAATAGAGAAATAGGCACGAAAATGGAAAGATCAGCATGGGCATCACGTGGTTCTCCATTTCCTTTACACATCTCCCCAACCTCTCGCCCCGTCCACGTCACACATCTTCCAAATCTCTCTCCTCTTCCTCTCTCTGAAAGGGGGAAATAAGATCCGACCAGACAGAAACACTTGAAACTCCCTTCCACCGCCACCGCAGCCCAAATGACCACCGCTACAGCCGCCGTCACCACCATCAACGACCTCCCTGAGGCTATCCTCTCCGTAATCGTCGCCTCCGTCTCCGACACCCGGGCACGCAACTCCCTCTCCCTAGTGAACCAGAAGTTCCTTTCATTGGAGCGAGCCACGCGCTCCTCCCTCGCCATCCGGGGCAACGCGCGGGACCTCTTCCTCATCCCGACCTGCTTCCGATCCGTCACTCACCTCGACCTCTCTCTGCTCTCCCCCTGGGGCCACTCCTTCCTCCTCTCCTCCGCCGACGCCCAATTGCTGGCCGCCCTCCTCGCCGGCAAGTTCCCTTCCGTCACTTCCCTCACCGTCTACTCCCGATCTCCCCTCACCCTAGACGTCTTGCTCGCCCACTGGCCCCGATTGAGCCATCTCAAGCTCATCCGCTGGCACCAGCGCCCTTCCTCCCTCCAGCTCGGCGACGATTTCGAGCCCCTCTTCCGACATTGCGCCCACCTCCGGAGCCTCGATCTCTCCAATTTCTACTACTGGACCGAGGACCTGCCTCCGGTTCTGCAGCGGCATCCCCTCGTCTCCAAGTCCCTCACGCGCTTGAACCTGCTCACGGTCTCGCTCAGCGATGGGTTCAAGGCGGAGGAGATTGTCGCCGTCACGGCCGCTTGCGGCAATCTGACCGAGTTTCTCGTCGCCTGCACGTTCGATCCAAATTACAACGGATTCATCGGCGACGAGACGCTGGTCGCGATTGCTGCCAATTGCCCCAAATTATCCATTCTCCATCTAGTCGATACGGCGTCGCTGCTGACAGTCAGAAGGGCTCCCGAGGAAGACGGTTACACAGCGGAGGACGCGCTGGTGACTCTGGTGGGGCTGACGGAATTCTTGGCAGGGCTTCCGCTTTTGGAGGAGCTGGTTCTGGACGTTTGCAAAAACATTAGGAGCAGCTCCACAGCTCTGGAAGCTCTGAAACGGAAATGCCCCAAATTGAAAGTGCTCAAGTTAGGGCATTTCCATGGAATTTGTCTGGCGATTGAGTCGCAGCTTGATGGGGTTGCCTTGTGCTCGGGGCTGGAATCGTTATCCATCAAGAACTCGGCTGATTTGACTGACATGGTGTTGATAGAGATTGCCAGGGGTTGCAGCAAGCTTTGGAAATTTGAGGTTGAGGGTTGCAATAACATAACAGTACAGGGTATGAGGACGATGGCTTGTTTGCTTCATAAGACGCTTGCCGAGGTTAAGATCTCCGCTTGCAGGAATCTCAATGCGGTTTCTTCGGTGCGTGCTCTGGAGCCTGTCTGCCACCGAATCGAGAGATTGCACATAGACTGCGTGTGGGATGGCCTGGAGAAGGAAGAGTATGGTAGTTGCCTCGGTTTCGATTTGAATGAGGGTCTCTATGATGAGGACAGTTATGGTAGCGACACGAAGAAATGCAAGTACTCTTCTTCAGAGTCGTCGTCCTATCATTACAGTAATGGGAATGGGTTCAGCAGCAGCACAAGAACATGGCAGAGGCTCAAGTATCTCTCTTTATGGATTCCTGTTGGCGAGCTATTGACGCCATTGCCGAGGGCTGGTCTTGAGGATTGTCCCAAATTGGAGGAAATTCGAATAAAAGTTGAAGGAGATTGCAGAGAGAGACCAAAACCATCCCAGGGTGGTTTTGGGTTGAACACTCTGGCCGAGTGTTATCCTGAGCTGTGGAAGATGCAGCTGGATTGCAGCGAGACGATTGGTTACGTGCTCACAGCTCCATCGGGGTCAATGGATCTGAGCCTTTGGGAGAGGTTTTTCTTGAATGATATAGAGAGCTTGAGCATTGTGGAGCTTGATTACTGGCCGCCTCAGGATCGGGAGGTTAACCAGAGAAGTCTGTCGCTCCCAGCAGTTGCGTTGCTTTCCAGATCCCGGACGTTGAGGAAGCTGTTCATCCATGGGACTGCACACGAGCATTTCATGAGGTTCTTCCTGGCGATTCCTAGCTTGAGAGATATGCAGCTGAGGGAAGACTACTATCCGGCTCCAGAAAATGAAATGAGTACCGAGATGAGAGTGGACTCCTGCAGTCGGTTTGAGGATGCGCTGAATTCAAGACACATCCCTGACTGAAATGACCCAGTTTTTATTTTCTTCGTCTTCCTGTTGTGATTTTGTACAAGTGCGCATTGTGAACTGAACTTATCACCAATTCACTTGATCTCTGCTGTATAAGTTGTGTTCCCATTTGACACTTTCTGAGTTCAAGCATTTTGCTGTTTCTCAGCTGCCATTTTAGTAAAGTTTTGTTGGGTATATAAGTAGCATCAAGAATATGAACAAACTCTCATTTTATGTTCGAGGAAGATAGGGAGGAACGGAAGAGAGACAATTCAGCGTTGTAATTTCTACTGCATAACACGGAAAATTGGAAGGCCTCCTTCTAGTACGACTTTGAAGTGCTTCGAAAAACAAAAGTACGAAATGTTTTACAACTTGAACAGCCGGGGGAGAACAATGTCCACACTCTACCTTGTTGAACTTAGTCCTGTTTTCTGTACACAAGAAAAAGGTAGTCTTTTGTTGTTTCCTCTTGTTTTCTTTTTGGTATCAGCAAAGGGAATACTCGCAATCAAGCAACCGAGATAGGATTTCTTCGCAGCTTGGTCGCTGATGCGCTTCGGCCCAGCAGTCTGTAATCGAAACATGAAAGGAATCCTTAATTCAACTATGGTTTCAACTGAATTTTCCTCAGAATTTCAGTTTCTGGATTTAGTTGTACCTGAAATCAACCTTCCCAGCGGACCTTCCGGAATCTCCAATCGGGATCCCTCGTTAGCAACAGCATAAACAACCTGAGAAGGAAAAGAAACAGAAAGCCAAATCAGAACAGAAACCAACATCCTACCTTTTCCCCTGTAGACAGAGTAAAGAGTAAACAATTCCCCTTCCCTGAAAGAACGAAAAAATAGGTGCTGTGGAGGGAGAATAGTACGTACTCTTTCAGGTGGTATTCCTTCCCACGGTCTATTGAGAGTGCAGAGCTCCCACATTATGACTCCTAAGCTGAAAATGTCACATTTCTCAGTGAAAGGTTCGCTGCGGATGAGTTCAGGAGCCATCCATTCAGGGGTTCCTGCTGACGATGAGTCCGTTACCGGTTTGGTCAACATGATTCTTGAGAGCCCGAAATCACAGATCTTGACAGTCCAATGCTTGTTTACGAGACAGTTTGCACTCTTGAGATCGCGATGAACTATCTTCATCCGATGTATGCACATCAACCCCCTGAATCAACAAAAACATACAGGCTAATAATGAGTGCACATCTCTGGAATCGAAGCTATGATGCACAAGACATTTCAGAACAAGAAATAATTCTCCTTCATTTTTGTATTGTAAAAACAATGTGAACGTAGGTAATGGGAGACGTCTAAGGGTAGTGAATTCCGAATTTTAGTTCAGAACAAAAACTAAAAATACAATCGTAATAGGCATTAGTATCATTTTTTTTTAAAATCTTTTTGAGGTGAACTAACAGCTTAGCATTTCACTTCAAACATAAATGCGAATGCCAGTTTATATACAGATTTCGGGATCAAGTCATGTCGCCTCTGTGACTGAATAAAACAGCTTTCGTAAAAAAAAAAAAAAAAAAAACCACAAACAGAGACCGCAAAAGCAAATTTGTTGGTTTAGTTGAACCCCATAGTCACTGATGAAGCAAGAAAGGAACACTTAGCCCTTCACCAAAAGAAAAGGAACAAGAGAACATTGCACACTGCCGTGGCTATATGACTGATTCAGAATTCCAAACTTTGGAAACTCAAGCCCGATGAAGCACTAGTCCTTATATTGTCATATATTACATCTTTCAATAATCCTTCAGAGAAATATAAAGCTACAGCTTCATTTGTTAGACTCGGTATCTAGAAGCCAATTAGTTGAAGAATAAGATTCGTGGAATGTCGATTAATTGACAACATATAACTCTTAATAAAAAGAGGTTGATAGCAGTATATTTATCTGTTAAATGTTTTCACACAACAGCTTTTTTGTTTTACTCTTTCATTCATTATGAGCTAAAATGGAAAGCTGAACACCGCTAATCTAAACCTTCTGTGTTAAAACTACATGTTGAAAACCAGCAGTGGTACCGCTAGAGCAAGCTCTCATTCACTAAGCCTCCAATTCCGGATATGTAGGTACAAGTACAACAGTACTTTTAAACATAGGTGTAAAATGAAAGTTGCAGTTATTAATTGGTGATGTAAATAGAAACAATCAAACTATGGTTTTCCATTTCCTTACAAAAAAAAGTACGGGGCATCAATCAAAACCAGCCAACGGATCTATGACGAGCACTTCATAAAAAATAAAAATAAAAACGGATCTATGATGAGCAGGATGCAGAATTGAAGCGTTTTTTCTTTTGGGTTGTAGAATTGAAATGCTTTTGATGATAACAGGAATTGGCTGAAATGCAGCTTATCAAAAGAGCAACTGATTGATCAGATGACAAACCTGCATATATCACGCAACATTTTAAGCCGCCTCCGCCAACTAAGCTTCTTCTTCTGACCACTTAAATGGATTAGGTAATACAAGGATCCCATTTCCATGTACTCGGTCAGCATTGACAATCGGGGAGGCTTTGTGCAAGCACCCAAAAACAATATAACTGCAAGAACAGTATGGATTTACTGAACAATGAGTGGGTGATAGACATAAATCAGACGAGGATATCAGCAAAAGCCTCTATGACATTCCAGTGCTAGTGACTACTAACTAATGATGAGTAGGACATTTGAACAGAAGTACCATCACAAGATGCATTTCTGGCATTTATCTGTTCAGTAGTACTACCATATAGTCTCTACATGCCTAAGAGCTACCAAAGAACTTAATACCAGAAGTATTGGGTAACGAGGAGTACCATTAGGATGACGAAGGCGACTGGAAGAGAACGATGCAGGGACAAGAAAAGAGAATTCAATTAGTGGAATATGTTGATAGCCTTAAACTTAAAAACAATAAGATTGGCAGATCAACAGGTAAATACCTAAGAATGGATATTTCATTGCAAAAGTCTTCCATGTTTTCAGCTGTTAGATCTTGCTCTAAGAAAACTTTGATAGCAACATCTGTCCCATTCCATACGCCTCGGAAAACTTCACCAAAAAACCCTAGCATAATGATTGATGAAGAAAATTCAAGTTAATAAATATCGCATGCAGCATATTTGCATATATGACTCCAACCCAACAAACAAAAAGCTACAATATAAAAGATGAGCTGATTTTAAAGCAGCTATGTAAACAAGTCTATTCATCATGACAGCAACATCACTATTTCCCCTCCATGTCAGCTTCCAATAAATAGGCATAATTAACAGTTTATCTCAAACAAAAGAAATCCAGTGTACCCAACGCCCACACTTTTTTCCATTTCATAAGAGCATCTAATCACAAGCGCAAATTTATAGTGGCATCTCAAACCCAAACACGTTAATTAATTGCAACTAAGTTTGTAACAAAACAGCACATCGTCATAGAATCTTACATGAGAACAACAAAATTGCATGAAACAGATAAGAAAAGCTTAAATAAGGTAATCGAAAGCTTACCAATCCCAACACGAGTTCCAACAGTTATTTCTGAGAAATCAATATTCCATTCATCATAAGGTAACAGAGGCTTATTCTGTAACATTTGTGACTCAAGGACTTTATTCCACGTCGTGACCAATTCATCGTTCGTGGAATAGCCAGAAGGTCCAACTCTCTCTAGTGTTTGGCTACTATATTCATGCGGCGAGGATGGTAATGATATTGCCTTCTGAGAATTTTTGTGGGCCACCTGAAGTGCACATAAGCTAGGCCTTCTGCTAGATATATCATTGCGACCATCAGGATCAAAATTTGTCAGCTGAAACAGAGAATAAGTTAACCGATTATGACAAATGAAGCCAAACCACCACAAAGAGCAGTTACAGCGGAAAGCTTAAAAACATCTGGACAAGACTAAGAGCAAAGGCTTTCACTGTTCAAGCATGTAATCCAATTATTCAAAAATAAAAACAAGTTATCCAATGTAGAACCAAAAACAACTACCGAACTCGGTGAAAAATATGCCAAGCTTGCTGATATTTGACTCTACTCCCACAGAAGAGCATAACAACCAGCTGACTACTTCTACATGAACAAAACACTGTTTATTTGTCACACAATCAGAACACCTTGCACCAACTTCCAGCAACAGTTAAACACTCAATTCCTAATACGATCTCTCTTATCTCTTGACATTCTGCTTCAACAAATTAAGTTTAAGTTTCTTTATAAAAAAAAATCAAGTTTAAGTTTACAACTGCAACTATATTTGCGTCAACCATGAAGATCAAATAATGACGTCATCAAGCCTTTCAGTACCACCAAGAGATGTGCCTTCCAAGTAAGGATTTCCTTTCTTTTGTCAAGCCTTAGCTAGGACGTTAAATATTGTAAATATCCATTACCATCTTCCAGCCAAATTTGAGCTCACAATTCCAGATAACAAGTTTCTTCATCCCCAGCGGACTTCTTTCTAACATAGAAAGTTTTGTAAACATTTCCAAACCTATACTGGAGCAAATTATGAAGAAAGAAAAAGAATGATATAGCCACACACTTTCATGTCAAGGGCCGAAAAAAGATAGATAGCATGAAAAAGGCAGTGGACACAGAATTAAGCATAACAAAACAAGTAAGAACAAGTAAAATTATGAGCAGAATACAGCAATGTTAAGATAGTGTCCCATGGTCATAACAACCATACATTTTTTTGATGATCTGAGCTGTTATCCTTCTCAACCGAATTAACTGTAGAGGATGTACCATCTCCTCGCTCCCGCATTAGACGGTTCTGCTTCAAAGTTTCATTCATGGCCCGCACAGCCCTGAAAAAATTCACAGCAAAACTAGAGTTAGGCTGTCACATAACGGAACTCCATGTTTTATAAGTATCCAATTACACAGAAGTTTGAAGAATAGAAGTTCTGTGCTTCGGCTCAAGATTACTTGAGATGCACTTTGTTGAAATGTGAAAAAAGTTACCCCTCTAGTCTAAAATTCAGATACATGCATTACTCCTTAGAATGTCATCAGTCTTATACGTTAAGTTTGCACCCACCCATTTGTCAATGACCAACCCAATATAGTTTTATCTTGATTAATCGAAGCCAGAAACTGACCATAACTTCGCCTCAGTGAACTTAAAATTGTATAACCACATCAGATGCTGCACATGCTGCTGGGTGCAAGTGTTTCTCTTCTTTCCCCATACTTTATCAAGTAGTCAAGTGATGTATAACCATATATTATTTTGGGGTCGTTTGGAGATTGGTATTTCAAGTGATGTATTTAACCAATACATGTAATGTCAAGATTAAGTTGTTGTTTTTTTTTTTTTGGCTAAATATGAGATAGAATACATGTATTACCTTTCTTATGGGCCCAACTACAACCACTCAAAATGAGTGATTATCGATCTCTACCAAAAGGTGAGATTGTCAACAAGGACTTGTCACCCAACTTTACTTTAACAAAATCTAAATCTCCAAACAAGGTATTTTCCAAATTCATACATTTAATCAATGCATCAAGTTACAATATACAAATTGATTAAATGCATCAATTTAAAGAATCTCAACCTCCAAACAACCCCTTATATTCATACCAAATATAAACTGTCCAGAGAGCCAATCAGCAATATTAACAACTTGCAACAGAACGTAAGCTACCAGGGATCCCGAACTAAAACTAAATCATGACAGTAACCTAAAGGAATAACCTCTCTACAGTAACTCAAACTCGAACATAAATGTAAATCAAAACAAAGGTGAACAGAACACCAACCTCACAATATCATCACCAATCTCTGGGGTCATGCTAATGCTTCTTCTTCTTAATCTACGGGGCTCCAATGTTGTTGATGCTCCTTCTGACCTGTAGCTAATGCCATTGATGAAAATTAGAAGAATTCAGGGAGGACAGCACAACCGTCCTTACATATCTAGCAATGGTCAATAAAAGCTCAGAAAAATGAGATATGACACCTTGCGGCATTGGAGTCCTAAAACCAATCATTATTTTCGCCTTAAATTATGTGGCTTGATATACTTTCTTATCGGTCATCACCTGTCTATCTCAATATTAGATGACCAAAGATAGAAACCAACAAAGAAGTCTCAGGTAAACACACAGGACTAAAATGTTTCTCCCCAAACTGAGGCATAGGCCTTACAAGAATAATGCCCACCTAATTTACGAATAGGGCTAACTTGCTAAATTGGCTATTCATAATCATGGTGCTCAAAACTCTCCATCAGCGCTTTTGTCCTTAGCTTTTTTATGTATCTCTTGTAGTTTTAATTCTCAATTAGGTCATAAAAAAGGAGACATGAATCGTCAAAAAAATTTAAATGGTCGATCTATGAAGATCAAAATTTATATATTAGTTTATTTGATTTTACAGTTCAAAAAGATTCACACTGGACATTCAATTACTTTTAGTCAAATAGATTAAAATATTCAGTACCTGCTATTCAATGTTCGTATGTCGAGGAAAAAAGGAGAAATGGGTATCTTCAGATACGTCATATATAATTAAAAATATTTGTTGAAGAAAAACGAATGTGTATAAAATAAACAAAAGAACACACCTTGAGGAAGCTACATCCTCGGGATAATCTCTAATTGAGTGCCTATCACCACTTAGCATAGACCTTCCGCGTACCCGTAATGAAGGATGCTCTGGACTGCAAAATGATGCTTGATCAAAGATATGAAGATTGAAAGTTTGCATAGACAACAATGTCCAACTAAAGAGAAAAACTATTGATGACAGGAAGTGAATAAGGGAGCCTCCTCTTAGTTTTACATAGTTGATATACAATATCCAACTTCTGCAACAAAACGCATCCTTCCAACTTCCTATAAAGTCCTATTTTAAATTGATGTGGATCGCAAATCACTTGATCTTTTTAACTTTAAGCAATTTTACGCTTAAATTTCACCGATTTCTTCCCCAAAAAGTTCTGAAGCCTGTTAACTATTGTCATTGCACACTATTAGAGCTTTCATTTACACTAAAAGAGTCAACAAATTGGGGGTCAATTAGTAATTCACTTATTTGTAATTGTTTTCCAATGCAAAAGTGAGATTACTTTATAACTACTTCAGTCAAACATACTTCCACTTCTCCAACTAGCTTTTGCAGACAACAGCTACATGTCTCCTACTTAGTGAAACTAGTAGAGAAGCTTTACACTCACAAGAGAGATACAGTTATCGAAAAGATAAACGGAAAACAAACAGTATGAAATACACAAAATCAAGCAGCGTACGAAGTAAGATGCAAGCTGAGAGTGGCCATTGCAAAATGACAGAATATAAACAGTGATAACATTTTAGTTGGAAACCACAGGATGATAGAGTATAATTCAAGCTAGCTATGACAGAAAGCACAAAATTTTAGAAGACCAAAAATCAAAAGGTACTTTGAGAAGCAAGTCTGTCATGGCTAATCACAGACATTGACTATGAGTCAAACATCAAAGCTACCACCTAAAAGCACATTTGACTTTCAAAAACGTTGGTAGCAGACATAAGGGTCAAAAGAAAAGAAACCTTGAACTAGCAGTCCGCTGTTCAGCTATCACCTTTTTCCGGCTACGCCGCCAAAATGCTGTAGCGATATTGGGTTCACTATGTGATAAACTGAGGCAAAACGGGAACAGAAAATGACAGAGAGGATACAGTTCAACCACAAGAACTAGGAATAGTAGTGCTTGGTAGCCAATAACAAACACATAACAAGAGGGGAAATGAGGGCAAGAAAAGACTGTCTGCCAATAAAGGAGGAACAAGACAAGAAAGCATCCAATATGAAGTCCATCTATGCAGCAGAGAGAAATGAGGGCAAGAAAAGACTGCGTGCCTAAGTTTTCTATCCAGGTTTGAGGCAGAACGCAACATCATATTCCGCAACGATGGGCCTGATGCATTTGCAGATCCATCTAACTTCCGATGGAACTGATGACCGTCATCTTTTTCAGCACTGCGACAATGAAACATAAATCAATAACTACTTAAACAACTTTTGATGACTGATTCACATTCATATATAGCCTGTGAATGTCATGTTTCAAGGTTAAAGTGGAAATCATGGATGCTAGCCTGTCAGGATCGACTTTCTCTGGGAAACCATAGAGAGGACTGTTTGGTTCAAGTGGTGAATCGCAAGAATCATTTTCAGCAGAATCACTCTCCCCTGCTGCTGAGATGTGAGTCATAAAAATTGCTCTGGTAGACCGTGGGATTAACTGGCCAGGAAATCGCATAAGATCTACCAGTAGTTCCACCGAATTCAACACAACAATGACTGACATGTGCTTATATGAGTCTGCACACTCAACGGATCCGTCATTTGGCAAACCCTGGAGAAAATATTGAAGGTCAATAATTATTATGAGCTATGAAAGGAGTTACTAGCAGTATTTCGATAAAAGACCCTGTATTACAGCTCTGAGACATATATCTGAAAAGGAAAAAACATTGAACTCAAAAGCTTACCACAACAAGCCTACTCTCAAGACCCACAGTATCTGCCAGAACTTTGAACAAGATCGCTCGAGGACGGCATGAACCATGTCTTATTTGCCCAAGCAATTGAACTCCTCGATTTTCAAGCATGTGATAAGTTTCCTCCACAGATGTTCTCGCGGGGCTGTCAACAGTAGGTCTTTTGTAAAAATCAGATACCTGAGGGAAAAATCAGTAGTAGAAATAAGGGTTACTAGTAAATCAAAATGTACTAGGAACTATGACATATATAGCAAAAAGTTGAACAATTTCACAGCAGAAATCAATCATCCCAGTGTGTACATAGCCAAAAATAGGATCATCACAATAAGTTGACAGAAAGGAACTGTTGAAACTTAGAAACACCTCAAGAAAAAGGAAAGAAAGACAAAAGAGAATTTATTTTGTTTCTGCATAAGGCTTATCAGGACATTCAAGCAGTACAGAGATGGGTATGAGATATATTATCTTACCAACCCAGCAATCTTCTTTATCATGGCAGCTGGATTTGCACTCAATCCTCTCACTAGTGCAGCAATCAACTGCTTCAGCATTGACAGCTTTTTATCTTTCTTAGAATCTACAACAATCACATCAGCCCTGAGAGCCTCATTTCCAAGAGAATGGAGTTCATCCAGGGTTGGAATGCACTCAAAATGCTCTTTTAGTCTTTTATCCTGTCAAAAGTTGAGAACTTCAATAATAAGCATGAAAAATACAGTTCTAACCACTGACATTTTATCTGGTCTTACGAACATTGAAGGGGTGAAGAAAAATTTTCTTACACTACTCGTCAACAAGAATTTAAATTACTTTAACAGAAATCATTTATTTATGAATGATATCCAGAACCATATCCTAGCCAGTATCAACTAAAGGTCAACACAGGAAACATGGACAACATCAGCCAGTATCACTATTCCAAGCTCATTACCTCCAAGCCAAAGATAAAAAAAAGTTTCCCTGTTTGGCTGAAGGACACACCAAAAGGAGTAACTAACCAACTCTCAAATAGATCAAAAGGCAGTTACGGAGGTTTTAAATTACAACTAGACTGAAAACTGCCTACAACGAACTTTTTCCCTTTACTCCACATCAGAGCAAGGAGAGCAAAACTGAATTATCATCCATAGAGTATTACTTATATGAAGCTAGGCAAGATGTTATAGGTGGTCATAAATACACTTTGAAGTGCATTTCAAGAAACTGAAATATTATCTCTGAATTAACCAATGAGCGCCTACTTGGTTAAGGTTGGACAAGAAAAGCAAACTCAAGAAACTGAACTATTAGATCTGTGTTGTCAGGCATTTCATAAACAAGGCTTATTTCCATGATAGAAAATCAGATGACAATCAACACAATAAACAAAGTTCTGAAATCATGAACAACAGTGTTCACATGGAAATCATATTCTTATTATTCCTAGCACAGTCAGTCTACAACATGGTATCACCAGTCAAATAGTTCAGAAAGCTAAAGAAAGAATCTCACAGGTGTGACAGAGTAGAAACCGTTAGGAATTGGTTCTAAAAGCATTCCAGTGCTCCAAAGAACTTGTGATGCAGTTTGAGAAGACAAGTCATCTTCTTCATAATTTCTAGGTGATTCTTTATTACTCAGTGTATCTTCTTGAGAATGTAACGAAACAGAGTCAAACTTCTCCATAAAATCTGAACCCCACCATGCTGCATTAGAAGGCCCCTGCTCTGCTGGCCCTGCTTCATCTCGAGACTCCTCCATCTTTTTAAATATTTGGGATGTAAAACCATTTCGACTCCACTCCTCACCCCATTAAAGACTTGTTCAACACGGCAATAGTTCTGGGACAACTTCAGACACTATAATAAACCTCTCCATCTCCATTGTGACAGAGCCAGACGCCATTTGAATAGCGAACCTATAAAATCAGTAAGGTGAATTATTTAGAGAACAAAATATAATGAAAAAGGGTAGAATCAAAACCAAGACAGCTGAAACAGAAGTACAGCAGTTATTTACTAAGCTCAATTATGTGAAACAATGGTAAGAATAATTTCTTAACCCCACTCTCTCTTGCCCAACTCCTAATTCCTCCTTCTCCTGATAGTTCGAAATTGTGAGAGGGTACAGATCCATCCATAGACATTTGAGAAATCTACAGTCCTCAATTACCATCTGTTTGAATTGATTCCTGTGCATATGGAGCTTCTAAGCCTTACCAAGCCCTACATCCTGATAGGAGTATTATTAACAGCCAGGCATTTCAACACCATGCCTTGTTACCCATAGTTGGAAAATTGTGAGAGGGTATCGATCGATCCATCCATAGAGATTTGAAAAGCCTACAGTTCTCAATTACCATCCGTTTGAATAGATTCCTGTGCATATGGAACTCCCAAGTCTCACCAAGCCCTAGATCCTAATATGAGTGTTATTATCTGTCAGACATTTGAGCACCATGCCCCGTTACCACAGTGACAACTCTCAAGCTACTTCATGGAGAATCACGAGCTTTAAACATTCAAGCAACCTACAATTTCACAGCAGAAACTGAATCTACAGCTAAATCAAATGAAATCTCTATGACGGCATTCCAGTGGGAACCGCAATCATAAATGTGCCCTTACAAGAGATCTTTACTAGGAAAGCATATCCCACAAACAGTTCCACCTATCACTTCAACCATGCCACGGCCAAACTTCTCCACTCCATAACTAACACATTATCAAAGCAATATCCAGGAACAGCATACCGAATCAACGACAGCTTGATTTAACAGCAAGAAGCAGGCGTGATTCAACAATGTGACACACGTCGGCGTCAAGGACAACCAGACAATGAGCAATACGACAACGGCAAGTTTCGAATTTGAAAACCAAGAAACAAGAAAAAGGAAAAGGAAAATCGAAAGAAGACAAGATCAGAGCAAATGGAGAGCAATGGAGGAGATTACCAGCAGCAGATCCAAAGCCTTTCACAGAGCTCCCGCTCCGACCAATAGCATTTGAATCTCAAGACTCCTTTGGACGAATCGGGGTCATCTAGCCTATGCCTTACCAGCGGCTCCGGCCGCCCCTAGAGAGAGAAAGTGAGTATGGAGGAACAGTTGGAGTCGGAAAGGAGAAGAAGTGATCAGAGAAACTCGGCAGCACAATCTTCCTATCCTTTTTTTCTCTTTTTACACAATTGGTCTACGGTGAAGGAGAGAGAGCGATCGTGATGGCGGAGATTCGAACGAGGGAGGAAGGACGAAAGGGGAAAAGGGAACGCATAGAGAGGGAGATCGATTTGGGTTTTATTTTTATTTTTCTTATTTCCTTTTGCTCTTCTTTTTTCTTTTTCTCTAATGGGAGGGCTTTGATTTTGCTTTCGTCATTTTGTTCCATTTTTACTGTTTCCTTTCTTTCTAAATTTTTTCTAGTCGTTTTTATTATGATTTATGGGTAATGCAATTATTTGATTGATTGGAATTGTGCATGGAATGGAATCTATTGATTTAACTAATATTTAGACTTCAGAGTTCAGACCATTATGAAATTTTATAAGAATTTATGTAAAAAATGTCATTATAAAAAACTTAGGTATCAAAATTTCACACTGAAGAATATTTTCATTAAAAACTAAAACATAGATAACAAATTCTAAAATACAAAAAATATACGTCCTCAACTATAATATTTTAACATTTTATTAATTTAATTCATTAATCCACCAATCTATTTGAATTCGGATTAAATGGATTGGATGAGTCAGGTTTTTGGGTTGACAAATTAATTCCAATTGTCGTCTCGAATTGAAACACTAGGAAGGCTTACACCAAAAGCTCCTCTCAAAGAATTAATATTGACTTCTAAAACTACTACTCCAATTCAATACTAATGTGTAGCCAATCACAAGAATGCAGTATAGAGTTACTAAGTTTAATTATCAACTCAGGTTATCTACATGTATCTATAATCTATCTATCTATACAATCCTCCAATAATGTATAGTAGAGTTTTGTCTACTTTTCTCTATTTCAAATTTTCTGCAACGAGAGTGAAAGTAGAAAGGGCAGCATAGAGTTACTAAGTTGAATTATCAACTCAGGTTCTCTAGATGTATGTATAATCTATCTACACAATTCTCCAATAATATATAGTAGATTTTTGTCTACTTTTCTCTATTTAAAATTTTCTGCAACGAGAGTGAAAGTAGGAAGGGCATTTTTGTCTTTACAATTAATTATTTATTCCATATAAAAATGTCAATATCAAGATTTGAACTCGGGTCTCCTCAAACAAAGACAGCGATCACAACCAATTATACTAAAGAATTTGTTGTATCTTTTTTAATACAAAACATACACAAAGTGACACTCTGAAAATCGGAGGACTTTTCCATCATGATTAAAAAGCCACTAAGAGGGGGAGAGTCTCTTCTTCTTCCTCACTTCATATCATCATTTTCATACGACAATAAAAGAACGAAAGGAAAGGATAGTTAACAAAAGCCTAGCATATCTCTATAATCCCAACAAAGGCTAAGGACCCATACAAACCTGATTACAAAGCCCAAACTCGTCAAACCAACTCACCAAAGATCATTCGCCGAAACTTTTGTCGTAACCTTTTCATCAGCCAAACCAGCACATCTAAAGGCAGTATCAGCTTTGAAGCTTGATACCGTTGCGAAGAGCAAGTCTCCACGAACATCACAGATTTTACGGAATTGAATTCCAAGCTCAGACGAGGGAGAAACAAGGTCTGGAAGTTGGTATGTGAGGTAAGGGAATTTCCAGTTTTCTACATATTTTGGACAAGCAGAAAATTAAGAATTAATCTCTAATTTCGTACTAACGATGATCGGCTCGCAGTTTCTTCGTTTGGAGTCCAAACGACGAACCGTTTTCACCTACACGATCGTAGAAATGAGGAGGATTTTTGGAAATCAACCACTGGAATTTTAGAACTTAATTCCCGACTTCGAATCAACCGAATTCAGGTGTGTGGGGAGAGGACCTTAATTATTGCATCAATTATTTATGCTTGATTTGCATATTTGGATGGATGGATTAGTGTGGTTGATGACTTGGTTGCTGATATGATTATTTGGTGATTATTCTTTATTGTTGTGGATTTTACGGTGTACATATCGGTATTTGACAAGTTTCACCGTAAAAACGAATAGTTGGGTTTATTGAGTTTAAAACTTATCTAAGAGATTTTTGTTTCTCTAAAATGATGTTGGGGCAGATTGAGCAGAAGATTTCACTTGAAAATGGTTTTCGGATTAAAAACTGCATAATGGTGAATTTTACTGAAAGCTCGATAAAAACGTGTTTTATTTATCTTTAAGATTTTGATCACTTTAAAATGGTCAGTGTGGATTGTTAAATGGGTTTTGGTCTGGAAAGGATAAATTGGACAGTTGGTGGATTTTTTATCTTTAAAATGGTAAAAACGAGCTTAATACGAGATTTGCGGTAAAGACCGAGTGTAATATTATTTTCATGGTTTTGAGCTGTTGAAAAATATAAAAACTGGACAGACTGCTAAGAAACACTACTTAAGTAGCATGATTCAGATTTTTTGTAACGGCTCTCTTTTACTTTCATTCATTTTTTTCATTTCTTGAGAGAACCACCACCTCTGCACATTTTTCAAACACATGCCCAATTTTTAAGCATTACCTCCAACCCTCACATTATATTTAGCAGAAACAGCAGAGAACATGCAAAAACCACTCTGTGGAACCTTCTAAGAGATGCAAAAGGGTGATTTTCCATTGTAGACCGAAAGAAAGAAAAGTACACGGCTCAAAGGGGCTGACTAGGGGGTATGACACACCAGGACCGTCAATTTGGTCGTGGGCTATTCCTATGCCTCCATCATCTCAGCTAGTGATAACGTGAATGCTACACATCATGGAAGAGGGATCTATCGCACAAGAAAGAAACGAGCAGGCTCAAATCTCACATGGCTACCTATATGCTCTATCTCTCATTCTGATTCCTTGAACTAGATGCATAAAGGACTGTCAAGAGCAAGTGATCCATCCAAGTCACAGTTGGTAAGCAAACAGTTGAAAAACTGATCCCCTACACAATCCTACTGCACGTCTCAGCCATCATCATAGGTTGTCGTAGTTACAATCAAGTTGTCATGCATTAATTCGAAAGCCATTCGATTCACCAATCAAATCCACAATGCCAATATGATAATGCAAACCTCAGTACTTGGAGCCCTCAAATCTCGAGATTTGGACAACGGACTAGGCTCCAAACACACATATATAGATTCCAACCAATATAAAGCACCCCCCCCCCCCCACACACACTTAAGTTCGACATTGCCCTCAATGGAGCAGAGGGAAAGATAAGGGGAACGATGTTACCGGGTGGAAAGACTGTCGGGAGACTGGAAGTGGACCAGTCAGCAGGAAACAGATGGAACGACGGAACAATTCTGCACGAAGGGAACATAAAGAACACACTACCACACTGTGCGTTAGGGATCATAGTTAGCTCAGATGGCCACAAAACGGACAATCCACAACAGAAAGAAAAAGAAAAAGAAAAAAAAACACGAAAGACTCAGTTCAAGTTCCGCAGACACATGGAGCAAACAAGAAAAGTCCAAAACAAAAACACACTCGAAGGGGCGACGAGTACAGACTACTCGTCGCCAAGGTTGTCAAGGTCGATGTCGTCCATGAAGCATCATCACCGGCTGGCAGGGGTGGAAGTGGAGAGTCCTCCCAGGGAGTCCTCTAGACTGGCTGCTCGCCCGGTATCAGCTGGAGCAGGTGCGGCTGGACCTCCTACATACGCTGAGACCGGCCCCGCTCCCTCTCGATGTGAGCAAGGGTCACCCCCTGCTGGGCCTCCATGCGGTCGAGGAGATCATCATATGCAGCCATTCGGGTATTATACTCGGCCTGGTCAGCCGAGTACTGCTGCTAGAATTGGAGATGATGGTCGAGGAGTTGCTGATTCTGGAGACTCAGCTGCTGGAACTGGTGAGTGAAGTAGTCCTGGGATGGAAAAGTGGAGCTGCCACCCCCGTACTCAAAGGTGGTCTGGTGAGGGGCAGCAGCAGCGTCCACGTCATCGGGGTGGACATCCTCAGTGGCATCATCCTCAGGAACTGCGGGCTGATCTTCCGTAGGGAGTGGTGGAGCAGGAAACCCCTCAATCCACTTGACGCCGCGCTCGACTGGCAGCAGGTGCATCTTCGAGATCGTGTCTTCGCCGAAGACACAAGTGTCCCCTTGCTTTGTGCAATCTTGAAGTGGGATCTGGAAATAGGTTGCCAGGCGGGTGATGAGGGGGGTGCAGTGGAGGGTCCCCAGTTGAACATCACTCTTGTCCAGAGTCCTTGCCACCATAGAACCTAGGTGGAGATTATGGTTCGCCGTGTGGATGGACTGGATGAAGTACATGGACCGTCTGGTGAGGGTGCTGGCACTGTCCCCAGCTGCGGTGAAGGACTTTGCTAGAAAGTGGTTGAGTATACGATTATCGAGCTGCAAGGTTCTAGCCTTCGTCCGCCCTGCATGGAAGGGAGGCTGACCGGGTTGAGCTAGCCGGGTGTACAACACCTTGAAATTAACACCTTATGGATTAGTGAGCTCGGTGACATAGTCCTCGTCATCGTCCAGGCCGAGGTCGAGAGCGACCGCCAAATCATGGTAGCTCATGGAACGAGGCTCACCGCCGAGCCTGAACTTGACAGCTTCGCCGTCCGCCCAGTCGGTTGTCTCTTCGTGCCGAAAGGTCATATAGAACTCGAGCACCAGCTAGTGGTAGACCTTCTCGCGAATAGATAACAAACGGCCCCATGTGCGGTTGGTGGCAATGGCGAGGAAGTGGTCGTAGCAATTCAGCTTCTCAAACTCCCTCCTGGACCAGTAGTGATGCTTCTGAAACTTAGAGGCCAGGACGCGCTTAAAGCGATCCTTGTGGGGGCCGGGCCGTGTGGAATTCCATAACCCCAGTTTCGACTTGTTTTCGCGCAAAATCGACATCCGAACCTTGGACAACACCTCAAGACTCCAAAACACAAAAATCAAAAAGAAAAAGGAAAGGAAATGCAAACCTAGGTGGGGTAGCCTCCCCACAAGCTCTTCTTTACCGTCTTTTAGATGGACGCCAATAGAGGAACTAAGGGTCCTCAAGCTTGATCAGCAGCTCTGCGCGCTCGACAGTACCTCCCAAGTACAACTTTAGGAGGTGGCCATTCACCTTGAACGGTTCAGTTTGAGCATTGCTGATCTCCATCGCACCGTGCGAGAAAACTTGGGTGACCATGAAGGGTCCCCGACCACCTCGAACGTAGCTTGCCAGGGAAGAGTTTCAGGCATGCATTGAAGAGCAGAACATGATCACCTACCT